AGCGTGAAGTCCTAGGGGCCTCAGCAATAGAGAAAGTTTGCATGTCTTACAGAGCTTTACACCACAAACCTCTCTGGTTGCTCACAGACATGACTGAGGAGTGAGTCTGGAGAATGTGTTCCTCATAGTGTAGACCTGGGGGGAGGGGCAAGCAACTTGCCCAACTTCTCTATTCCCTATAGAACAAAAAACATTAATAAATAGGAAGAAGGACCACACATACAGTCATCTTCAGGGCAGTGATGAAAACTCATTGCAGCTATAAAAAGAAACTGAATAATAATAACTACAACAACAAATCACCTCTACCCTTGAGAAAGGGGCTGGAATTCAATATGACAGTCAAGTAGAAAATCCCAAAGCATCTACAAAAAACATCCTAGGATTAGTATAGAGTTTGTTATGGTTGTAGTTTGATAAATAATCAGTATATAAAAATACTGTTTCCATATAGTGGCAGTAAACAATTGGAATTTGCAATAATAAAATATATATATGTGTATATATATATATATAATTATACATGTTATTTACCATAGCAATATGGTAATTGCTTTATATGTATACTAGTGTTGAACAAATAAGTAAATATGTTGTTGGTAATGAGAGCCAGGCTTTTCAGTATTGAAGAACCGAGTTAGAAATAAGGAAAGGGGAAGTTCATAATGAGTCCTGTGGTGCTGTATTGCAGTTGGTGGAGTTAGAAGTAACAGCGTAACAGTTATTGTTATATTGTAATCTATCTATTAGCTTTCAGTTAGGAGATTTTTCATTACTTGTTTTCTTGTTACAGATGTGACCTATCCTCAACAAGATGTTGAACATTTTTAGGGGAATTTCTGTCTCTTTAATAATACAAGATGATATTGGGATGTTTAGAGATCATTGCCTATATCAAATACTGTCCGGTTCACCATCAACTTGAAAGACTAGTAAATTGCCTTTTTCAGATTAAAGTTAGATTTGCTTACAGTTCTTAGAAAAATGTGAGACCCTTTGCTTTTATTAAAAGCCATAGGTGGCACATAAATGTTAAGAGAAGCACTTTTAGGTTATAAACATCCAGCCTGCCAGAAATGTGCATTTTGAACTCATTACTTTGATTGCATCACATTATATATCAGATATAGTTATTTATAAGTCTTTGTCAGCAAAAAAAATACTTTGAAATATATAGTTCTTTGCTATGCATTAGCTGAAAATTTCTAGTGATCTTTGTTTGCTAGACTGTTTCTGCAATATCGTGCTATAGAAATCCCACAGAAGGGGATCTCTGGGTGGCGCAGCGGTTTAGCGCCTGCCTTTGGCCCAGGGCGCGATCCTGGAGACCCGGGATCGAATCCCACGTCGGGCTCCCGGTGCATGGAGCCTGCTTCTCCCTCTGCCTGTGTCTCTATCTCTCTCTCTCTCTCTCTCTCTCTCTCTGACTATCATAAAGAAATAAAAATTAAAAAAAAAAAGAAATCCCACAGAATTGTTCAATGTTGTAGTATCTCAGATGAAAAAATACCAGGTACTATTTTTGTGAAGTATCAAGAACATCAGTGGTTCCAGAGAAATTAGTCTTCCAGTACCAGATGTAAAGCAATCTTTTTTTTTTCTTGTTTTAGAGAGAGAGAGCATGTGAGTGCATGCAAGAGGGAGGTGGAGGGTGGGGGGTAGGGATAAGGGCAGAGGGAGATGGAGAGAAAATCTCTCAAGCAGGCTCTACACCCAGCATGGAGCCTGACATGGGTCTCAATCTCACAACCCTGAGCCTAAATCAAGAGTTGCATGCTTAATCAACTGAGTCAACCAGACACCTCAGATGTACAGTAATCTTGATTTGTGAAATTAATATACATATCATGAAGATATCCTGTCGTAGTTTCTTATTCACAGAAAATGAGAAACAAAGAATTTGCAAGGACTTAGGAAGATAGCCATTTTTCCCCTTGTTTTCAGACAAGACATCATCTCAAACCTATAAGAATCTAGGTCCTTTTGGAAACTTTTTTGTTTGTTTTTTGGTTTTGGCTTTGATTTCTTTTTAAGTTTTTATTTTAATCCCAGTTGCTTAACGTACAGTGTTATGCTAGTTTTAAGTGTACAACAGAAATTCAATAACTCCGTGTATCACCCAGTGCTCATCACAAGCGTACTACTTTTTAATCCTCATCATATGTATCTCCCTAACCCCTGCCATCCCCCTGCCACCACTAGTTTGTTTTCTATGATCAAGGATCTGCCTATTGGTTTGTCTCTCTCTTTTCTCCCTTTGCTCATTTTTTTTTGTTTCTCATATACCACACAATAGTGAAATTATAAGGCACCTATCCCTCTTTAACCGACCTATTTCTCTCAGCATTATACTCTCCAGCTCCATCCACATTGTTGCAAATGACAAGATTTCATTCTTTTTCATGGCTGAATAAAATTCCATTGTATGTATATACCACATCGTCTTCATCCATTCATCAATTGATGGACACTTGGGCTGCTTCCACATTTTGGATATTGCAAATAATGCTGCTATTTACATGGAAAGATGTCTATTCATGTCTTCTGCCCATCTTTTCATTGAATTATATATTGAGTTATATAAGTTCTTTATACTTTTTGAATACTAACCCTATATCAGATATGTCATTTGATAGTATCTTCTCCCATGCAGTAGGTTACCCTTTAGTTTTGTTGATTGTTTCCTTTGCTGTGTAGAAGATTTTTATTTTGATGTAGTCCCAATAGTTTATTTTTGCTTTTGTTTCTCTTGCCTCAGGATACATATCTAGAAAGAAATTTCTATGGCCAATTTCAAAGAGGTTGCTGCCTGTGTTCTAGGATTTTTGTGGTTTTAGGTTTCACATATAGATCTTCAATTCATTTTGAATTTATTTTTATGTATAGTGTAAGAAAGTGGTCCAGTTTCCTTTGCATGTTGCTGTCCAGTTTTCCAACACCATTTGTTGAAGACACTGTCCTTTTCCCATTGGATATTCTTCCCTTCCTTGTCAAAGATTAACTGGCCAAGTAGTTTTGGGTTCATTTCTGAGTTTTCTATTCTGTTCCATTGATCTATGTCTATTTTTGTGCCAGTACCATGCTGTGTGCCACTACTAGCTTTGTAATATAACTTGAAGTTCAGAATTGTGATGCCTCCAGCTTTGCTTTTCTTTTTCAAGCTTACTTTAGCTTTTTGAGGTCTTTTGTGGTTCTACACAGATTTTAGGATTGCTTGTTCTAGCTCTGCGAAAAATGCTATTGGTATTTTGATAAGGATTGCATTAAATGTGCAGATTGCTTTGGGTAGTATAGATGTTTTAACAATATTTGTTCTTTTAATCCATGAGCATGGAATGTCTTTCCATTTCTTTGCATCATCCTCAATTTCTTTCATCAGTGTTTTATAATTTTTAGAGCACAAGCATTTTACCACTTTGGATATGTTTATTCCTGGGTATCTTATTACTTTTGATGCAATTGTAAATGAGACTGATTCCTTAATTTTTCTTTCTGCTACTTCATTATTAGTTTATAGAAATGCAACTGCTTTCTGTAGATTAATTATGTATCCTGCAACTTTACTGAATTTACTTATCAGTTCTAGCAGATTCTTGGTAGAGTCTTTTGGGTTTTCTATATATAGTATCATGTCATCTGCAAATAGGGAAAGTTTTACTTTTTCTTTATTGATTTCGATGCTTTTTATTTCTTTTTGTTGTTTGATTGCTGTGGCTAGGACTTCCAGCACTATGTTAAATAGAAGCAGTGAGAGTGGATATCCTTATCTTATTCCTCATGTTGATGGAAAAGGTTTTTTTTTTCCCCCATTGAGGATCATGTTAGCTACTGTAGGTTTCTTACATATGGCCTTAATTATGTTGAAGTATGTTCCCTCTAACCTACTTTGTTGATGGTTTTTGTCATGAATGGGTATTGTACTCTGTCAAATACTATGTCTGCATCTATGGAAAGAATCATATGGTTCTTATCCTGTCAGTTATTAATGGGATATATCACATTGATTGATTTAAGAATATTGAACTACCCTTGTAACCCAGGAATAAATCCCACTTGATTGTGGTGAATGATTTCTGTAATGTATTATTGGATTTCATTTGCTAGTATTTTATTGAGGATTTTTGCATCTGTCTTCATCAGAGGTATTGGCCTGTACTCTTTTTTCACGGTGTCATTTTCTGGTTTTAATATTAGAGTAATGATGGCTTCATAGAATGAATTTGGAAGTTTTCCTTCCTTTTCTATTGCTTGGGATAATTTGAGAAGAATACATATTAACTCTTCTTTCAATATTTGGTAGAATTCACCTGTGAGGCCATCTGGTCCTGGACTTTAGTTTGTTGGGAGTATTCAAAAATTCTTTGCAGCAATTTCTTTGCTGATGATCAGTCTGTTCAAATTTTCTATTAATTCCTGAATCAATTTTGGTGATTTATATGTTTCTAGGAATTTATCCATTTCTTCTAGGTTGTCCAATTTGTTGGCATATAGTTTTTCATATTCTCTTATTATTGTTTGGAGGTTTAAATTTTGTTTTTTTCCCCAAAATACTACACTTTTTCTTTTCTAAGCAAAGACAAAATTTTTTAAACTATTACTCAAATTCCATAAGACATACTTTTTCCTTTTTTTTTTAAAATTTTCCCCATTGTCCTTTATTCATCAATCCATTTTCCTTTTGAAGGAATAGAAAATTCCAGATCATTTATTTATTCTTTTGTATGTCACTTTGGGAGAAAACCTATTAAGGATCAGTGATTCCTTGAAAACCAGTGAAATAAAGATAGACATATGTTGTTTTCCTTTGTGTTTGAACTAGGCACTAAAGGTCTCCACAATGGGAATGATTTTGAAAGCATTTTTTTTCTATAATGTTTGTCATTTTTAAATACCTTCTGTATCATATAGTGACAAGATCAGAATATCTTCAGACAGATACTGTAAAGGATCTTTTTAGAAAAGTAAAACTAATGTTATATTTACTCTCTTTTTTGGAACAGGAGTTATTCCATCTGAGAGATGGATAGTAAATTTTGACAGAGACCTTTTAGATGGCCTTGTTTTTGCGACACAGTTGGGAGCCTATTGTCCATTTTTGGTAAGTGTCGGTTTAATGAGGAATGGTCTTCTATTATTTGAAAGAAGAACTTGGGATGCCTGGGTAGCTCAGCGATTGAGCCTCTGCCTCTGGCTCAAGGCGTGATCCTGGGGTCCCGGGATCGGGTCCCACATCGGGCTTCCTGCCTGGAGCCTGCTTCTCCCTCTGCCTATGTCTCTGCCTCTCTCTCTCTCTCTCTCTCTGTGTTTCTCTCATGAATAAATAAATAAAATCTTAAAAAAAAAAAGAACTTGGATTTCTCCATGAATCTCTTCTGAGAAAGAAATCTAGAGGACAGAGTGAAAGAAGAAGAAATGGCCAGTTCTCAGGGACTGCTGACATTCAGGGATGTGGCCATAGAATTCTCTCAGGAGGAGTGGGGATGCCTGAACCACACTCAGCGGGAACTGTACAGGGATGTGATGTTAGAGAACCACGGACACCTCCTCTTCGTGGGTCTTGTTGTTTGGAAGCCAGATCTGGTCATCTTTTTGGAACAAGAGAAGGAACTCTGGGGTGTGAAGAGAAAGGAGACCGTAGATTTCCACCCAGGAATGTGAACAGAAGTATATTTGGGGTGATTCCAGGAAGCTCAAGGAAGGTATTGAGAGAAGGGAGACAGAAGAGAAGGAAGCCAAGATAGACTCTGTTAGAGTCCGATTCATTTATGAATAAAGAAAATGTGTGTTGTAAAAAAAAAAAAAGAACTTAGTAATTAAAACTCAAAGTATTTTTTATAAACTGATTCTTTTCAATATTTTAATTTAAGTTACACTTGAATCTGAATGGCCAGCATTCCCTTTTTGTTTATTCTGGTATTTTGATTAAAATAATTTACTACTGACAGATGTTAATATTTAAATGATTCTTTGCTGAACTAAAAAAGAACAGTTAAAAAGCGGTAATTTTTATTATTTTATCACTAAAAGATTTGATTGTTGTCTTTTCCAGATTGAGTCTCATTTAGTAAAAATGTACACACAACCAAAAAGTTCTGAACAATATCTGCACAATTGCCTGATTATTGTGAATGTACTTCGTGAAATTGGCTTTGACATGGACATACAGGTGAGTGCCTATGTATCACATATTCCATACATGTAAATTTCTTTTCATATTTTTCCAGCTTTATTAGGTATGATTGGCAAATAAAAATAATGTATATTTAGTTTGTACAATGTGATTTTGTATGTATACAATATGATGATTTATACATATATGTGTGTGTGTGTATATACACAATGTGAAATGATTACCACAATCGAGTTAATTAACACATCCATCACCTCATATAGTTACCATTTTGTGTGTGTGAGTATGTGTATGTGTTTGTGATGAGAACACTTAAGATCCAACATTTCCTCATTTCCTCCATCCCCCTCCTGTGGCAACTATCTTTCTACTCTCAGATTACATGGGTTTGACTTTTTTAGATTTCACATACAATTGAAATCATAAAATACTTGTCTTAGTGTGCCTGGCTTATTTTGTTTAGCATAATGTCCTTTGGTTTCTTCCATGTTATCACAAGCAACAAGATTTCATTCTTTTTTATGACTAAATATCCCATTGTGAGTATATACCACATTTTCTTTACTCATTTATCCACTGACGGAGAGGTTATTCCATATCTTTTATATTGTGAATAATGTTGCAGTTGGACATGGAAGTGTAGATATCTCCGAGATGCTGATTTCATTTCCTTTGGATATATACCCAGAAATAGGGTTACTGGACTGTATAGTAGTTCTGTTTTTAATATTTTAGAGGAATCCCATACTGTTCCCCATAATGGCTATAACAAGGCACATTTCCACCAACAGCATACAAAAATTCCCCTTACTCTACATCCTTGCCAACACTTTATCTCTCCTCTTTTTGATAGTAATTATTCTAACAGGTGTGCGGTAATATTTAATTGTGGTTTTGATTTACATTTCCTTCATGCTTAATGATGCTGAACAACTTTTCATGTACCTATTGGTTATTTGTATGTCTTCTTTGGAAAAATGTAAAAATGTTAGTTGACTCCTTTTAACATTCCTTTGTTCATATATTTTAAATCTAAATTGAGCAGTCTTTTTGTAGGATGTAGCTAAAATGTGGAATTTGAAATATGACTTCATAGAAATCTACTGGATATTTCTAAATATATATAATTATGTATATCTAACTGTGCATGATAAGAAAATAGTTCTAGTGATTTGTCCAGTTTTCTTAAACCCCGAGAATGAAGCTTGAGTGATTTAGTAGCACTACCCAAGCTCTAAAATTGAATGAAAGGAGCAGACTTCTTTGAATATAGATGTATTATCATTTTTTAATTTAGTAGCTAAAAAGACAACTTTTCATTTTGGTTTTAAAATAAATATTCATGTTGAGATGAGAATGGCAATATACATTATTATATTTGGATCTTCACATTATAATTCCACCTGGCCTTTCACATCAAGTCCTCAATAGCAATAATCATTATATGCTTACAGTTTTGAGCCCTTTGTTAGAGTAATGAAATAGTATAACAAATTATTTCTTGGGGCGCCTGTGTGGTGCAGTTGCTTGAGCACCCCACTGGGTTTGGCTCATCCTGATCTCAGTGTGGTGAGATTGAGCCCCATGTCAGGGTCTCTGCTCAGCATGGAGTCTGCTTAAGTTTCTTTCTCCCTCTTCCTCTGTTCAACCCCTCAAGGTCATTGTTTCTCTCTGTCTCTCAAGTAAATAATTTTTAAAAAATAAATAAATAATTTCTTACTTTGAAGAATATACAAAATCATTGAATTATCAAGATATGTGCATAGTCATTGATAAAAAACATTCTACTCATGCAATTGTCGGTGTATGCAAAAAAACAAAGTATAAAATTCAGATAAGGGAAGAGATCAATATGATCTAGATGGATCCACCAAAGATTTTGTAGAGAAGGCAGGACTTATTTGGGGTCTTGAAGGTAGATTGGATTTGGACTGGTAGTGGTAAGAGACGAAGTTGTTTACTCAGAGGATATGGAGTAAACAGCATGTCAAATGTAATACATGACATACATTAAGGAAATTCTGTGAAGAGAGTGCCTTAGTTGAATTTCGAGATTAGAAAAATCAATATAGATATATATTGGGATATTGGATATCAGCATAAAAAGTCAGAATTATGTGGTATAATGGGAATAAAGGTATTTGTTCTTAACAACTATGATTGGAAAGGACTCATAGGAGAGGGATCATAGACCAAACAAAATATAATTTCAGTTGGTCAAAGAGGAAGATATTTTCTCTACTCATGTCATTTGGGAACTTAAAATAATAAGTTGATATAGGAAACATTTGAGGTTTGCTAGACCTTGTGAACAGTCACAAAAGAAGGACATGGGAGAAAGACCATTACAGCTAACTGAGTTTTCTGTTCCATGACACAAGAGACATTGATGATGCCAGTGCCCACATATGGCTTGGTATAAAGCTGTTCCTCACACCTGCTGGAAAAAATGACATTTCATAATGATTTGCTTTTTCCTTGTATGAAAGTCACTTGCATGTTAAAGTCACTTTGTTTCAGGTCTGACATTTACCTTCTTTTATATTGATGTAGGTGTAAAGAGAAACTGTATTTTAGGATTTTGGCTAGAGATTTCTTTTATAAGAGAGTTTTAGAGATAAACTTCAATGAAAGACTTTGGTTTGAAAGAGTAAAAATACTGTAGTTCTCATGAATTCAACAAACTGAGTATCCTCCAGAAAAGACACTAGATAGACCCTGTAAGTGGTACAGATATGATTAAACCACAATCATGCCTTCAAAGATGTTATTAATAGTGACCAGTTCACAAAAAAAAAAAAATCTGATGCAAAGAAGATAGTGAATGCCATAGTATACATAGAAGCAATGTGCTATAGGAATCAAAAGGGACAGAAATCATTCTGGTTAAGGGAACCAAGAAGAGTTACAGGAGACATTTGGTGTTCAAGGTGGCCCTTGAGAATTTGATCAGACTCAAAAGAAACTTAAATATTTTTGTTTGGACAAAATAAATCATTATACGTTGTGATTCTCTCCTTTGCTTTTTTTTCCTTAGATTTTATTTATTTATTCATGAGAGTTAGGGAAAGAGAGAGGGAAACAACAGAGGGAGAGGCAGGCTCCCCACAGAGCAGAGAGCCCAATGTGGGACTTGATCCCAGGACCCTGGATCCTAGGACCCTGGGATTATGACCAGAACCAAAAGCAGACACTCAACTGACTGAGCCACCCAGGTGCCCTCTCCTTTACTTTTTTATTTACTCAGATATGTTGACTCAAAATTTTTATTTTATTGTATAATCAAACGATATTTTAAAATGTGCATATCTAATGCATAAAAATGCAGAGAAAGATTTGATGAATGGAGAAACTGACAGTTAACTGATAATTATCAAGCTTTTAATAACCAGTTTCAATCCCTTAACTTTTTTTTACCAACCTAAATTTACCAACCACATTAAATCACAAAATTCAAAAATATTAAATTAAGCAATAGTGAATTAATGCCAATGCATAACACTGGTTCACATTTAAAACCAAAGAAATTCAAAATATTTATTAATGTTTAAGTTTCTCCTTTATTATATTCTTTGCAGCTGTGGAATCAGCTAGATAAGTTTCTGTACCTGTGTTATGTCCTGTTGTGGAATCTTGCCATTTGAAATATAACAGTTGTTTACATATCTTCTCTTTCATGACATACATTATATTTAAAGCAAAAATATAGTGGGAATTATTTGGACTCAGTATAGAATATATTTTTATTCCCTCATGTAAAGAAATGGATATGAAAATAAATATAACATTTATAGAGATTGTACTACACCTAATTCACTGAGTAGTGATGGGAGCTAAAGTTGAATAGATAATTTGACTTTTCTCTTAAAATTTTCATTTGCTTTTGGGGCTCCTGAGTGGATCAGTCTGTTTAGCATCTGACTCTTGATTTTGGCTCATGTCATCATTTTGGGGTTGTGGGAATCAAGCCACAAGCCCTGGGCTTGGAGACTGCTTGAGCTTCTCTTTCTCCCTGCCCCCTCCCCTTCTCTCTCTCTTCTTCTCTCCTTCTCTAAAAAAAAAAAAAAAAAAAAAAAAAAAAAACTTGTTTTTAGCAAGTTTGATGCTTTTAGCATTAAATAACAATTCAGGAGTGAAAGTACTTTAAAAATAAACAAATTCTTGGACACCTAGGTGGCCCAGTGGTCAAGTGTCTGCCTTCGGCTCAGAGTGTGATCCTGGAGTGCCAAGATCGAGTCCCACATCAGGCCCTGCATGGAGCCTGCTTCTCCCTCTGCCTGTGTCTCTGCCTCTCTCTGTGCGTGTCTCATGAATAAATAAATAAAATCTTTAAAAAATAAATTCAATATTTTATGTTAGATTAAGTCAGGCATTAGGAGATTATAGGAATAGTCACTCAGTTACTCAATAAAGTTATTAGAGATTCATTTTTGCTCAGCCCTTCTCAGCCTCTGGTTTTGTTTTAGGTGTGTGCACTAATAACCACCAAATTTCTATTGAAATTCTCATGTAACACTGCTATACAGTTACTCTTGGGGCTAGTTGAATAGCACCTCATCTTTCACTTCTCTTTTTCCATAAGGTAAACCTTTTCTAATGGTTAACTGCATATTTCCTGTTACGTGTCATTAGCCATAATTACATTCCATGCTTGTAGCCAAACCAGTGTTTGATAAAAGTAATGAAACAGGCACAAAAATTGGGATTCTTAGGGAAGAAGAAAGGAAAAAATTGCTTTGCAGAAAGTAATCAAGTGTTCTCTGTAGAATTAAAGTATGTCAGTGGGTACTGCTAGTTATATTTGGTGTCCAGTACAAAAGCTGGTAATATCTTGAAGTCATAGAAAATTAAATCCTCCACAAAGGTTGACATTATTTCACCTCTTCTTGTTACTGATGAAAAAACTGAGGCCTTGGGAAACCAATTGATTTAGTCAAGATCATGGCACTGTGTAGTAGCAGGGCTGGAATTTGGTTTACCAGATTTCTACTCCAGCATTTTTCTCTATTATGACCTATTTTGTTTAATTCTTTGGTGGGAAATGGACCAATACAGTTGAAGTTCTTCTAGGTTAGACCTGTATAGAGAAAGCAATGATTATATCTTTGAAAGATATTTCACAAGGAAATCTTCTTTTAAACAAACCTAACTTAAAATAATAATAATAATAATAAACCTATTTTAACATTTGGATTTTTGAGCCTAGGATCGACTAAAGTGTAATTGCTTTAGGTCATTTTCATCGAAACTTATAAGGAAAGTTAAGGATGCTCTTTTCTCTTTTTTTTCAGTCTAATATCTTAATATTCAAATATATTTTCCCATTAAGATAAACATATTTTTTTAATTTCTAAAGTATTGCATTTTCATGCCATTATATATTTTTCAAAGATGAGTTTTAGGTATAATTCTATATTGTTACCTATATTTTAGATAATATTGTTACCTATATGAGGTAATATTGTTATCTAGGTAACATTGTTACCTATATTTTATGCTGTAGTCACTAAAAAAGTGTTCAAAAGGCTTTTTATTGACCTCAGACTTGAGCCTACAGTGTTCTGCCACTAGTCTTACCCTTCCCCCAACAAACACATTTCTCATCACCTTAGACAGCCCTCTTTTTTAAAAAATATTTATTTATTTATTTATTTGAGAGAGAAAGAGAGACCATGGGGTTGGGGCAGAGAGAGAGAATCTCCAGCAGACTCCCAATATGGAGTCCCATTTGGGGCTCTGTCTCACTACCCTGAGATCATGACCTGAGCTGAAATCAAGAGGCAAACACTTAACTGACAGCCATCCAGGTGCCCCACAGCCCTCTTTGATCCCACTCATAGGTAGGCCCATCCTAAAGAGCCCAGCAGAGCCATAGTCTTCACTTTGTGAGAATTAAACTCTGTATTTAGTTTTTAGTTTTTTAGTTTGTTCTTATCTTTATTTTTCCTTCACGTGTTGACTAACATTGTATTTCATGAAGAAATGTGCTACCACAGAATACTGATGAGTAACTTTGGAGTCTTGGTGTATTTCTGTTTTCCTCAAATCATACTCACTAGCAGCTTTCTACCCTGCCGAGGAAGGGTAGAAAGCTCCTTTATTTTTTACTAAAAATCTCCTACTCAGGCACCTTTATTGGTTAGCCTTACTGCTTATTGACAAAACAAGAAACAACAGGGACACCTGGGTGGCTCAGTGATTGAGAGTCTGTCTGCCTTTGGCTCAGCGTGATCCCGGAGTCCTAGGATCAAGTCCTGCATCAGGCTCCCCACAGGGAGCCTGCTTCTCCCTCTGCTATGTCTCTGCCTCTTTCTCGGTGTCTCTCATGAATAAATAAATAAAATCTTAAGAAAAAAAAAAACAACAAACTCTTCTATTCTTTCAAATAAGTAAAAGAATGTATTTAGGAATATGAACCAGCAGATGATCAGAGGAGCTGTTTTTTTATTTGCTGGGAACTGCTGCTGTACTTCAGAGTTAAGTGTATTAGTTCCACATAATGGCTTAGGTCTCCTTGGCTCCCACACTACTTGCATTTCCAAGCCAGACCTGGATCATTTTCAGTTACTAACTTGAATATGAGCCATTAACTAGATGTTCATTTTATAGAAGTGTACTGACAATGACAGAGTTGTTTGTCTGTCAACGGCGTTTTATGTCTTCTAATCCATGCCTTAGACCATTCTCAATACTTCTTTGCTATGAGTAATTCTCCTCTACGACCTTCACATTTTTCTAGGACATCATAGATACTACATGAGCTGATACAAAGAATCTTTCCTCCTACTCCTGACTCTACTTTTTTTTTTTTTAGGTTTTAAGATTTTATTTATTTATTTGACTGAGGAGAGAGCACAAGCCGGGTGGGGAGAAGGGGCAGAGGGAGAGGGAGAAGCAAACTCCCCACTGAGCAGGAAGCCTGATGCGGGACTTGATCCCAGGACACCATCCCTGGACCTTGGGATCATGACCTAAGTCAGCTTAACTGACTGAGCCACCCAGGTGCTCCTGACTCTACTTTTTATATTCAGTGTACATTCAGGCTATGTTGATTGTCCCTGCTATTATTCCTTTGCAATTCTGGCTTTTATCTCAAATCTTTTCCAGCAACCATCACTAATTTACCTTGGTTATCAGTATGATTACATTTTCTGACCTATTACAATTTGTTCTAGAAAAAGTACTCCCTATCCACCCCCACCCCCACCTGATCTGCCTGCATTGTTGCTCTTGTGTTATTCCTCATTCAGAAATCAAGTCCCTCACCTTGGCATCGATGACACCCTCCACAGTGTGGCCTTGGCGCTCCTTAGTCTTTACACGCAGTGCTTGGCCTTTCTTGCCTTACACATGATTCGAATTGTACTTCTTTAACAAATAAACACTATACTTCCCTATATCCTTGCACTGTAGTTCTGTGCCTTTCTGATGCAAAACATCCTTTTCTGCACCCCAGGCACAACCTATTTAAGACCCAAGCACTCTTCAAGGCCATCTCCTGTGCTGCCTTCTCCCTTGAGCTTTTGCTTGAAGTTCTTGCCTTCTTTTACCTCAGTAATTTGTCTACTTCTCTGTTCTATTTTATTGCTGTTTATGTACTTTGCATCAGGAGCAGTGTCTTAGTCACATCGGTCAGTATTTCTAGTGCCTAATATTTTTATGATCTCTGACAAGCTTTTGTGAAGACTTTGAGGCCGTGAGGTCAGTGTTATACTGAGAACACATCTAATTCATCTTTTAACACCTGAGTCAAGCTTTTCTGATTCACAACAATATTCTGTTTACTGTGTTTACAGTTCAGTGTCAATGTCAATTAGTAATATTTTAAAAATATGTTAAAGTAATTCAATAATTGCTGTATTATGCCTTAGCCCTTTTTATATATTTCATTGACATATCCTCTCTGATGTATATTTCTTTTCTTTGAAACTAGGCCACGGACATCTGTGACCCTAATCCAATCCTGATGCTCATGCTTTGTGTCTATATGTATGAAAGGCTCCCGACATATCTCCCCAAGAAGGTGGTGCCCTTTCATTGTACTCTACATGACACCGTGCTGAGACAGGTATGGATATATTTGGGGCCAAAATATGTGGAGTTAAACACTTCACAGGGGTTTTAGTTAGTTCTTTTCCAACCCCAAATTAACGAAAGTATCAATATGATATAGTAAGCCTTAGCAAATATTGCTTTTTCTAAAGAAGGTTTAGCAGAATGAAAGAGACAATTTTTGCATAATAGTAATCACCTGCAATGAAATGATGATTCCTAGATGATTCATTTGATGAGTGGGGCTTGGGGAAGTAGAAAATGAAAAGTCAGGCACTTCAAAGGGCAGATTTTCTCAAAGTACTTGACACGCATTTCACGTGCAAGGGGACTGACCCCAGGAGCGTAAACTTGTGTTCTGAATGTACTCAGCTTTCCATAAGGGAGCAGTTTACACATCTAGTTCAATTTATTCAGATGAGGACATAGAAAGGGAAATGAAAATCAAAGTTTTCAGGAAAAACTTCAGGAAAAAACCAGGACCATCTAATTCCCACTAAAGGATATTATATGTGCAGGAGCTGCTAAATGTATAACAGTGAATTTTTTAATATGCAGAAAAAAATCAAAAATGAAAATAAAATTTGAAGTCCCATGACAATAACAAATCTGTATGTCTATATTTATGAAGTGTTCTCTTTGAGAAATATCTTGTCAGGCATCTGGATGGCTATGTCGGTTAAGCATCTGCCTTAGACTCAGGTCATGATCCTGGGGTCCTGAGATTGAGCCCCACTTCTGGCTCCCTGCTCAGTAGGAAGCCTACTTCTCCCTCTCCCTCTGCCTGCTATTCACCCTGCTTGTGCTTGTTCTCTCTCTCTCTCTCTCTCTTTCTCTCTCTCTCAAATAAATAAATAAAATCTTTAAAAAAAAAAGGAGAAATATCTTGTCAAGGACCATTGACCTCAATTTGTTTTTCAAGCTGTTTGTTTCATATTTACACTTGTGAAATATCTTCTAGCACACAATTTTTATTTTTAAAATTCTTTCCGATTTTTTAAAAGATTTTATTTATTTGAGAGAGAAAGAGCATGCACATGAAGAAGGGAGATGGAAAGAGAAAAGGGTGAGGGGCAGAGGGGGAAGGAGAGGGACAAGCAGACTCTGCACTAAGCAAAGAGCCTGGCTCAGGTCTAAACTCCAGGACCCTGAGATCATGACCTGAGCTGTAACCAAGAGTATGATGCCTAACCAACTGACCCACCCAGGCACTCCTAGCATACAGCTTCAAATTGCTTATGTTTATATCAGATTGTTCCTTCTACAAATTTTCATAAAATCTTCAACTAGATTAATAGGTCTCTCCTTTCTTTGAGGACACTAGTGGCTGATAGAATCTTATTTCATACAAAAGTTACTTTACCTCTTTGGTCAGATCATATCTATTCCTTTTCTTTGGCTATTCTATGTATTCCTCCTCATATTTAGTTGCGAGGATGTGATTTTATACTTTTGATGCAGAACTTGTCCATATTTGGTCTTCAAAAACATGTCTTGGTGATCTTTGATTTGTAATTGTGCCTCTGAATAAATATGTAGCCTCTGTGACAAGATGATTGATGGTTGGTAAGGATTCAGTTAAAAATCAGGGAAAATCAGGTACTTGTCTCAACATGTAAAGGGTTCAGTTTAGGGTGAGGAAAGCCTCTCCTTATTTTTTCTTAGTATACGTTGAGATATGATTCCTTTTAAGGATTTTTTTCTTTTTTTTTTTTTTTTGGTCAGAAAAAAAGACAAAACTCTTTGGAAGTTTTTTCAACAGTATTTACTCTGATAATTCCCTAACTGCAATGATTCTCAAAGCCTGGAGCTGTAATTATGTTGGAGAGATCTTTTGACTTCAAAATAAAATTTCTGAAGAGTTAGAAATGTTTTGATTAAGCCTGCAGAATCTAGGAGGAGTCTGGATTAGATTAAGCAGTGATTTATTATAGTAAGGTTTAATTCCAGTTCTTTAATTCTGTCCATGTGTTTGTATTTCTTTATGCCATTTAATTGTCATTATTTTTTAAAGTACTTAACAGAAACTAATGTTTCAATATAAATTTTAATTGTGATGTTAAAAATCAAATTAAAGCAATTAAAATGGAAACAGTTCTTTCCACATTTAGCTCTTTACTAGAAATAATGTTCATATCTTAAGATTATAGATGACAGGCACCTGGTTGGCTCAGTAGGTAGAGCATCCAACTCTTGATCTCCAGGTCTTGAGTTCAAGCTCCACATTGGGCATGGAGCCTACTTTAAAAAAAAGAAAAGAAAAAAAAAGATTATAGATGAAATTATACAGATACAGCTTTTATTTTCCACAAATGTAGAGTATGTCTTTTGAAGGCAACAAAAATTAAATATGAATGCAAAAAACTGTCAATTACAATAAGCTTTAATTTTAAATTTAATTTAAGAAAATCACTGATTTGGAAATTGCTGAGAACGTTTGGCATAATTTGCCCCTATGCATCAACACCATAAATGGCAGTGCTTAAGTTGTTGAGTATTTTATTTTATTTTTAAATAAATTTATTTTTTATTGGTGTTCAATTTGTCAACATACAGAATAACACCCAGTGCTCTTCCCATCAAGTGCCCACCTCAGTGCCCGCCACCCAGTCACCCCCACCCCCCGCCAGTTGTTGAGTATTTTAATCAACATTTTCATCACTCTAGAAAAAAGAAGAATCTCAAGAAATGGCTACTAGAATTGAAAAAGTATTTGTGTAACTATATGTCACTAATAGAAACATAGAATCCTAGAACCAGTAAAAAAAATAGTGATCAGTGAAAAAAAATGTAGATCGTGTGGTTTTCTGAGGTATTTTTAAAATGAAATTGAACTTTTCTTCTTACTTTTTTGAAGCAGAATTTACACAGAAACACAGTAGTTAAAGATAACTATTAAATAGTGAAAGATAAGCTATTCTTACAAAAGATGCACATGGGGAATTGAGGCTCCAAAGCTTTCTTTCCTTTCCTTGAACAGATTTCCTTTGTCCCCATTTGCCACTTACTACCCCAATGTGAAATCCTGGGTGGAATAATCTGACCACAGGTGAGCCCAATGCCTTTGTGTCATATATAGGATATGACATAATGAGAATGAGTGGCTTTTTTCAGATTTCAGAGCTAGTTATGGAAGTTCCAGGACTATAAAACAAAAACATTTCACAGAGAATCCTTGTGATTTTCTACATTTCCTTTCAGAAAACAGAAACTAGTTCTCTGGAACTTAAAATCATTTACTAGTACTTCAAATTCATACATAAATACATAAATACATACATAAAAAATAACACACTGGGTTTGTCTTGCCCCCAGTATAAATGATATGCACAATTAGGTAAACAACATGAGAGCCCCAATTCCTTGGTGTAACCAAAGATAGAAGAAACTCTTTGGCAACAACGTACTTGTCCTGGTAGTTACCAAAAATTCTCATTGAAATATAAAACTAGTTAATTTAATCTTTTATTTTTTTTTAAGATTTTTTTTTTTTAATTTTAGAGAGAGGTAGAGAGAAAGAGCAGGAGGAGGGACACATAGAGAGGGAGAGGCAGAGAATCTCAAGCACTCTCTGCACTGAGTATGGAGCCTGATGCAGGGCGCAATTGCACCACCCTGAGATCAAAGCCTGAGCAGAAACCAAGAGCCAGACACTTAACTAACAGACCCACCCAGGCGCCCCTAGTTAATCTTTAACAAATCTACCAAATTCTGTATAAGTCACCATTATCACTGTAAGTCACTATAATCATGCATGGTGCTAATTGTTGACTCTTCCGATCTCTGTGACTATACTTCTTGGGCTATGTAAGTTGCACTCACCTGTTGTCACTCTTATTTGGCCAATCATGCATTTTTCCCCATGTCATCTTCCTCCTCTGAGTCAGTACTTTCCATGATAACCTGGAATCTTTCCACTGTGTCTGTTTTTTCTTAAATTTCCATTATATTCTACATAAACACTTGGATATTCACAGTTTTCATGAGATATTCTAACTTGTCCTCAAGTACCCTCCCTATCTTGGCATCAGAAAGAAAGGAACACCCAACCCAATGTTATACTATTGCTTCAAGTCAAGGCCACCATCATTTTCAGCCTGGGCCTCTGTTTTTAAATGTACATTCCTTATAATACTTTCTACACTGAGCAGCCTGAGTAGTATTTTTGTAAATTGGATTATCTAAGTTCTCTGTTTAAAATTCTCCAAAGATTTCCCTTCGCAGTAAAAACAAAATCCAAGTTGCTAACTTTGGATTTCAAACCTTTGATGATCAGGTGTTTCTACATCTGTCATTTCCTTACTTGAAAGCTTGAAAGCTCTTTCTCCTTGCCTATTCTGGTAAACTATCTATATATGTGTTATCTTTAAATACGAAGTCTGCTTTCCTCCAGTTAGTGCACATTAGGAATATTTTCATGATTAAAGTGTATAACTTGCTTTGATGAAAATAAGTGCTAAATTATATATTTTTAAAATTCATGATCTTATGTATACTCTCTTCTTCAATATAGATTCTACTGAAAAATTCAAGCTTGAAACACTTAGTGTATAATGCTACAATTATTGGAAAAGATGCCTCTGACTTCTCTCTTTCCCAGGCAAGGAACACTGTGACAATATCTCCAAAGTAAGTGCTTTTTTTTTTCTTTTTAAATTTTGCTTCGCTAAAAATAACCCTAGAGATTTAATGTGTATTATAATTATAAAAGAGTGGCCTGGATTTGTTTTTTACTAGTATATGTATAATGAAAAGATTATCACTCAGGTATAAATAAATTATGTATATGTTGCTGAGATTCCTCACCAATTTTGTTAAAACAATTTTAACAACATAAAACAGTTGCTTGTTATGTATGCTTTTAATTTTAGTTTATTTTACATGCATATGGGCCATAGAGATTAGATTATAAGTTGTTTGTTTATGTACTGTGCTTCAGTTTCCTGTAGGAAATTCAAACCAGTGTGTGCTAAATTTAGATGTATATGTATATATATATGTATATATATATATACATATATGTTATATAGTTATATTACTTATATATATTTTATAGATATTATATATAACACTATTATATAGCATTCTGTTTATATGTTATATATTGTTGTTGCTGAGCTATGTGCTCATTGTAGAAAATTTAGAAACTATGAAAGTACAAAGAACAAAGAAAGTGAAAGACTGATAATCTTACCTCAAAGCCACCTTCACTGTTGCCATTTTTCTCCATCCCTTCACTGTCATTGTGTTTGTATGTGTGACTACATGCATATATATATATATTATATATATATAATATATATATATATGCACTAGGTGTATATGTGTGTATATATATATAGGTGTATACCTAGTGTGTGTGTATATATATATACACACACTCACAAATTGTAGTGATTTTCTTTAAAGTCTCATTTCTATCTGATTCTTTTCTCATGATGCTTTTGTTTAATGTTTCTTCTACTATCCTACTTTCAAAAATAAAGCACAAATGAAACCCCCAAAGAATAGTCTTGAGAAATTAAATATAAGCATAATGTATGACTCTTCCCAGATCAACAAATCCTATTAGATATGTCAACGGTTTTAATGATGGCAAATATTCTTATTACAAAATACAAGGATGATAAGAGAATAGCTATGCTAGTATCACAATGGTTCACAGACTAATAACCAGTAATTGATTTCAGCCAGCTAGAATTTTAGTCATTGCCTTTGCATTCAATTATTTTTTTTTGCAGTACAGAGTGACAGGTTATAACTACTAAAGTTACTTCACCTGGTTATCTTTTTGGTTTTTAATTATACATTAACCTGAGTTGCTTTTCACATTGTAATTATTATTACTTCTAGTATATGAAATACAGAAATAATTGGAAATAAGGGCCATTTTAGTTACATTTAAAATACCAAGAAACCCAGTTCTAACAGTGCCCTTGGCTTGTGTCATTAGCCTGTGTTTGTTTTCTTCAGTTACTGCTCCATGCTAAGGAGTATATAATTTATAAATTCTGAATATTCATGGTTGGTATATATCCAGATTGAACTGAGTGTGAGGGAAACAATTCTCCACTCACCTGTTTCTATATTATAAATTGAATGATTAGAATAAAACTCCTTGTAAAAATAACCCACTCATTTTTTTAAGTTATTACGTGTCTGTTATAAAACACAACTTTAGTAATACTAGTTCATTTAAACATTGTCACAGTACCGTTTTTCTTCCCACAGGACTTGGATAATTGAGATCTGTTCTCTGCCTTTCAAATAGGTTGATACAAGTGAAAAGGTTTCAGGTTTCTCTCCACTTTTTTTAACTCATAAACCCAATAGTGTCTTTCAGATTTCACAGCTTTCATTAGGTGGAAATTCTTCCTAACAACCACATAAAACCTCTGATATTTTAGCCTAAAAATCACATTTCAGTTAACAAAATTAACATTTATAGTCTTTACTATAAATGTAAAATCTGTGCCTTGTTGAAAATTTGTTACGGAAATGTATAAAGAAGAAACAAAATCACCTAGAACTCCATCAGATAAGCAATTCATCAGTTCATTTCCTTCTAGTCTTTTTATATGCACAAGTATATGTTTATTATAGCATATGTATAGTATTATATTTACAAAATAAATGCATTATATATGTAAATATTAAAACACTTAATGCTTATTAAACACTTGCTATGTACAAAATCTATATAACATGCACTTTGTGTAGCTTTTCATATTTAAACATCCTAACAGCCATATTAGTGTCCTTATTTTCCAAAAGACGACATTGAGCAGAGACATTAAATCATTTGCCCAATTTTCCCTGCTGTTAAATGATCAAGGGGAGATTTAAAACCAGGCAATCTAAATCCAGAGATGGCACTCTTATTCAATAGATACCTGTATATATTATGTGTGTATGCATGTGTGTGTGTATCACATGCATGCAAAGCCCTTGACATTCAATAAAACGTGTCTTTGACTATTTTTAAGTAATCCTGAAGATTCATGACGTATCATTTTTTGTTTCTCCAGGAGCTGGTTTGTGAGAATATTTCACTTGGGTGAACCCAACAGGCTACTTCCTATTAACTTCTCAGTAGTGTGCCTTGTTTTCTCTTTATTCACCATTGCACCACTTATTGTCTATATAAATAGACATATTTGTAAATATTAGCTTCTTGAGATTTTAATACATGCCAAGTGAACATTAACTGACCATATATTCATGTATACCTACTCACACATGTAATCATGAGTACATATATTCATGTTTTGACTATATTACACACATGCCTATATTCTTGTTATCAACTTATATATTTTAATCAAAATTTAACTTATACATGCTTAACAAATAAAAAATGCAGAGTGATTTATTTTTTTTAAGATTTTATTTATTTATTTGAGAGAGAGTGTGTGTGAGAGAGAGCATGAGCTGAGGGAAAGGCAGGTGGAAAGAGAGAGGTAGATTCCTGCTGAGCAGGAAGCCCGACGTGGGACTCCATCCCAGGACCCTGGGATCATGACCTGAGCCAAATGTAGATGCTTAACTGGCTGAGCCACCTGGGTGCCCCTGCAGAGGAGTTTAGAATGAAAAGCAAGTCCCTCTCCCCTCAAATCTGTCTCTAGAAATCCACTTCTTGAGCCACCTACTTTTCACTCCTTCATTTAGGTCTCATTTTAGCTCTTCCAGTAGTTACCTCCATAAATTGAAATAATCTATATTATATTTGCCAGTATTTTTGTTATGTCAACTTCAGAAATAATCTGTTGATGTATAGCTATAATATTTAATGACCTAGTTTATTTACTTCTCCAGATTTATTGCCATCCCTCCAAACATCACTAGTTCTGTCCTCTATTTATTACTTTTCCAAGAGTGAAAATCTATTTTAATATGTTTCTTATACCATCAGTATAAAAAGTATCTTTTGACTCCTCCTTCTTTAAGTTGAGAAAATCAATAAATTCTAAAGAAGTTCATACAATCCTTGAAGTCTCTTTCTTTCAAGTATACCATTTCTAGAGCACTTTGCCTTTTCCTCTGATTTGGACTGATTGCTTTCCAGACCTACTGAAGAGATGTCAATATTGAACATTTTTTATTTCTCTTTGGATAGAAACTAATATCTTTCTTAATCTACTTATATATTTACTTTTAAAAAAATCCTTATGAAGCCTAATAAAAAATATGAGAGGAGCACCTGGGTGGCACATCAGTTGAGCATATGCCTCTGGCTCAAGATGCGATCCTGGGTTCCTGGGATCGGGTCCTACATCAGGCTGCATACAGGGAGCCTGCTTCTCCCTCTGCCTGTGTCTCTGCCTCTCTCTCTGTGTCTCTCATGACTAAATAAATAAAATATTTAAAAATATATATGAGAGATAAGTTTTCCAAGATTTTGCATTTTTAAGCATGTCTTTTTACTACCCTTACCTTTGATTTATATTTTGCTTGGTTTATTTTGCTAAGTTGGAAAGATTTTTCCTCATTACTCTTAAAATAATTGTTCTGCTGCCTTATAGTATTCATTATTTGTGATGAGAAAGTCTACTATAATTCTGTTTTCCAACACCTCTAGAAGGTTTTAGGATTTTCCATTGTGTTCTGAGACAGCTCTAGAATGCCTCAAGGAGGGTCTTTTTTTATTCACTGTTTGGGTACATAATGAGTCCTTTAAATATGAAGTTTCTCATAAGCCCTGGCAAATTCTCTTAAATAATTTCATAATTCTCTCCCCTCCACTTTCTCATTTCTCATTTTCCAACCTTTAGTTGTTGGATATTGAACCTGTTCATTGCATTCTTTATGTATACTGTCTTATCACTAGTATTTTTCATGTCACTGCTTTTTCCCCTTTTTTTTCAACAAGCTTTCTTTTCTAAGTGTTTCTTTAGAGGAGAGAAGCAAAGAAAGGGAGAGAAAATGAGAATCCCCTCTACATGTATATTTGCAAGAGTATTTTCATTTTTATTGAGTATCTCTTGCATGGCGTCCTGTTCTTAAATTGGGGTTATCTTCATCAATGTCTCTGACTATGATGTCCTCATCTCTTATGTAAATATTTTTATTTTCTTTTAGGTCATTTGTTAATGTTTATTTTGTTTTCAGTGTATTATGTTTAAGGATTTATTCTAATGCCTTGTGGTAGTTGTTTATCCATTCATATTTAATAACACGGCAATAGAAAAGTATAGTCGTTCTGTATATACACACAAATCTTTATCTTAGGATGAAAAACATTAATGCCCAATTGCCCAACATACTGTACTGGCCTTGAGGACAGTGAAGTTGTCTGAACCCCATCTTGAGCTCCATGCAAGTGGGCATTTCTGGAAATGGCCTCTCCAGGAGTCTGTGGGGCGGCTTTGTTTCCTTTATTAACCTCTGTTCCGAGATGCTCATCAATAGCCTCTTCTAATTAGCAGCTTTAAAAAAAATCTCTTTCTTATAATTTTAATGAGGTTTCTCTTAGGTGATAAATCTGAGCTTCAGAAGCCATTGTGGTCTAGAACTCTACTGTCATGTCATTTAACAATTAAATGCTGGGCTTTGATACTGCTATGCACAGGCTCTATGATCCAGCCTCATTTTTCTTATTTGGAAAACGAGGATCAGGCTCCTGGGTGGTGCATTTGGTTAAAGGACCGACTCTTGGTTTCGGCTCAGATCTGATCTCAGTCATGAAATCAAGCTCCATGTCAGGCTTTCTGGTCAGTGTGGAGTCTGCTTCTCCCTCTCCCTTTGCTCTTCTTCTCTCTGTTTGTCTGTCTCTGTCTCTCATAAATAAAACATGAAAAAAAAAAACAAAGAAAAAGAAAACAAGGATCAGTATATTTACCCACAGTTTTGTCAGGAATAAATGTAATTAAATAGGCAAAGCACCTAGTACTGTAGCTGGAACATATTAGGAAGCAACAAGTATTTGCTCCCACTCCCAATTTGAAGTGCTGGTGATTCATAGATGAAAATATATTAACACTACTCACAGTGTTTGCAATCTAGCACAATAAACAAATTCACAATGAGGATATAATTTGATAATTGCTTTATTTATATTGTGTGTATAGAACTAGAGGAAAATAGAAAGAAGCACCTAAGTATTCTTGGGATAACCATGGAAGTGTTTCCAGAAAAGATAATACTTAATTCTCAATATATATAAAAAATAATTATTTTTTAAAAGATTTTATTTATTTATTCATGAGAGACAGAGAGAGGGAGAGAGGCAGAGACACAGGCAGAGGGAGAAGCAGGCTCCATTCAGGGAGCCCACGTGGGACTCGATCCCGTGTCTACAGGATCACGCCCTGGGCTGAAGGCAGCACTAAACCGCTGAGCCACCCAGGCTGCCCATACAAAATAATCATTTCCTTTTCTAGATGCATTTTATTTTGTAGGCTTGAGTACTATTATTAGGTGGTTCTTTAAGCATCTTTATTAGCTAGGCTAAGTAATTTCCTAGTCTTTCATTTTTTTACAAATAGGGTTCAGAAAATATTTTGTTTTCATAAAAAAGAAATGGCAGTATTATTATTATTAAGTATTATATAATTATCTATGTGTACCACATCCTTAGAGTCTTTCTAAATCATGATTAATAATGACTCTTTCTGGCAGCTGTGGATTTAAATTCCCAGAGATAATCATTTACATAGAATAGATTAAACAGCTACAGCAACATATAAACAAACATGTTTACTTTTGCATCTAATTTGATGATTAAATTTAGCTTTAACCATAGAGTTACTGCATAGAAGTAAAAGTATACTTTTGGAAAAGCAGTCTGCTTCTTTTTTTCCACGTTATTCTCACTGAACCTTTTGGGCGCTGATATTGAATGATACGTTATAAATTATTTTCCATCTTTTCCAAAAGCCAAGTTGAAGTACCCTACAAGAGACGTGTAATATCAAGATTTTTTTTTAATGAGAGGGAGGCAATTGGAACAAAAAGAAAATAAAAGGAAGAAAATTAATATGAAGCCTATGATTATACACATTTTTAGAGACCTAAGACATTTATCCAAGTAGACCACCCATTTGATTCTGAACTTTCTAACACATTCAGGAAGGAATCCTTGTCATTTACATGCCTCCATCTGACTACAAAATTTCAAAAGAAACATCTATACTCAAGAAAGGCTCAAATCTTCATGGTCCTAAAACCAGACATTGATTTTATAAAAAGGATATTATATTTTAAAATGTGTTTCATAGGATTTAAGTATAGGTCCATAAATTCATTTATTAAATGCATGTTATATAGATTATGGCCATTTTCAAATACCTTTTTTAAATCAACTTCCATGGAGATCCAATCTGTTAGCAAGTCTCTTGATTTTACCAAATATATATTAAAGTTGACATCTTTTCTTCTTAGTCACCTATTCCACATTTAGTTTAATGTACCATTATCTTTAAGCTGCACTGCCACAATAGACTACTAAAAGGTTTCTCTGCAATCCATCCTCTATCTTAGAATGGAAACATTTTTTAATGCAAATTTGCTTATCACTCCTCTGCTTAAAATATTCCCATAGCTTCCTATTACCATTAAGATATAGGCTGAATATCTCAACATGATTTTCATCACTGGCTCTTGGATATATCTGTATTGCTAACACTCTTGCTCTCTAAGCTACAGCACCACTGGCCTTTGGTAAGTTCTTCAAACACATAATTCCTCAAACCAGAGGCCTTGGATGCCTTCTTTCTTCCTCTATTCGTTCTGGCTAACTCATTCTCATCCTTCATATCCCACCTAGCAGATCCCTTCCTCAGATTTTTCAAACTATACCACACTTCCTGTTATATGCTATCATACCACTTCCTAGCACATACATAATTTATAATTTTCACATTTATTTCGTGATGGCATAATTAATGTCTGAATGCCTATAGAATGCAAGATCCAGGAGATCAAGAATACTGAGGGTTTTTTTCTAATTACTATATCCCCAAATCTAAAACAGTACCTGGAACATTATAAATTCTCTAAATATCAATTGAGTGAATGAATGAATGACTTGATCTAATGATGAATTTTAGGATATCTATAAAAATCCTAAGTTATTCACAGGTATCCTAACACAGAATTTGAGCCTATACATCTTGAAAAAGATCTCAAGGTCAAATATTCTTTGTTCTTAATTAAATTCAAATCCATGAGCTTTTTAATGACCAACAAAATATCCCTTTGCACAAATTGAGATTAGTGATGACATATTTGAGTAAAGACCAGCCCCACTCCCACTACATGTGAGTTGTGATTTTCCCTAAAAAGCAGGTTTGTATTTCTATTGATTTTGAAAGTCCTTAATTCACTTTACTTTTTGCTGCTCCATAGACTTACCTATTTAACATTAATTCCACAAGGATCTGAGGGAAGCTAAGCCAAAGCTGGACACTGAATCTATTCCCATCTTCATTTCCAAATATGAGTATCCTAAGAGAAGGCAATAGGTGATAGTTTGTACAAAGGAATAACTGTGATAACTATGCTAAAAGCCAGAGCAAAAGCAAATATAAAATTTCCTCAAGATTTTTTACCCACAGCTGTGCCAAGGCAAGGCAAGGCTGAAAGAGCCAGTTAAGAAACACTGAGCCCATTTTTTTTTTTATTCAAGGACTTCATTACTTACATTAAAGTTCTCAAAAGGGCCAGATCCCATGTCCCTTGTGCAGGTTAATGCCACAGCAAAAAGGCTTTTGTTGATGAATACATCATGCATGGTAGGGCACCCTGTTGCTGACAGCCAATCTCATGCTGCAACTAAGCAGTTTTATAGCCTGTAACTCTCCCCTGAAGGGGACTAGGTAGCAACCCTCCTACTGTATCACAATCTAGGAGGCAATGAAAAACTGAGGATACCCTCTCAGGGAAGGTAGAGAGGCAAGTGAGAAAGGTTCTTATAGCAACTCTTCATGTGTCTCTATGCTCTTATGTTATGGGTGGATCTTGGCTTTCTGCCAAGACTTTTATCCACTGTAGTTAAGCCTTGTATATGTGGCCTGTGTGTGTTGGCATGCCAGATTGTCAGGGTGCTATGTGTAGTCATTCCCCTAAAAACTGGTAAGTGAAATCTCCTCCAAATCCATAGGCTCCTCACCATTTTACTGTGTTTTTAGACTAGGAAGTTGAGGTTAAAGGGAGATGGACATGACTTTCTGTTTTCCTTCTTTTATTTATGTTTCTCTCAAATAAAAATCCTCCTATGTATGTACTATTACTTTGGTTCCAGATTTAAATTTTATTTTCAACCATGGCTTTAAGTATTTTTTTAATTCTTAATCTTTCTCATTTTTTGTCTATGTGATAAAAAAAAAACAGTGATATGATTAAGAGTTCACCTAAACAGCACAGAAAGTCCATGAATTTCACCTCAAAAATACCTACATCATTTCCTGCAGCTAACTGGAAATCCAGTACTTGGTAAATTCTATGTACATTTGAAGGTAACTGTAGATTTTACAGATAGGATCAAGATGTTTTAACTGATGACAAAAACTGGATTGTAGACTTGCTGAGATGTGTAGCAGTCTTCAATTTTATTGTAGAAGTGAGTATATCGCAGAGTGTAGGCACATGATCTATGCTGAAAAGATACTTGTGTTTTTTCAGTAAAATATTTCCTCTTTTATCTTTTACTAAATAGAAACCAAATTAGTGTCACTCTGAAATTCACCAGTCGCTTTCTTCGTCCTGCTGAAGCTTCACTACTATTAATTTCAAAATGTAGACATGCAATAGGAGGCGCTACAATGACTTTTGCTCTTAAGGGTGAAGTCCTCAATTTTAAAGCCATTGTAAGTAAATTTTACCTATTTTGTATGTTTGCTTCTCTTCTCAGTGCCCCAAGCACAGCTGTTCTTCCAAGTTTTATCTCTATACAGCTTCTGTTCTTTGAAGTCATGTTTGTACAGACACATGTGCACATAATTACATTTGCACAATTCTTGCCTTCTGTGTCTCTGATATTCTTGCTCTGTTACTCTTTCTGTGGAAATAATTCTTTATTTATTTATTTATTTATTTTTTTAAGAGTGTGGAAATAAGGATCCCTGGGTGGCGCAGCGGTTTGGCGCCTGCCTTTGGCCCAGGGCGCGATCCTGGAGACCCGGGATCGAATCCCACATCGGGCTCCCGGTGCATGGAGCCTGCTTCTCCCTCTGCCTGTGTCTCTGCCTCTCTCTCTCTCTCTCTCTCTCTCTGTGTGTGTGTGTGTGTGTGACTATTATAAATAAATAAAAATTTAAAAAAAATTCTAAAAAAGAGTGTGGAAATAATTCTTCAGTTTTATAAGATAATTTGAAAGGATTTGTGTTGAGTGTTCCTTTAAGGTCAGATTTTTAGGATTATATTTGTTCTTTCCATAATGGAATCATTTACTATATACAATGTAGCAACTTACATTCCCTTCGGCTGTGGAGACTTGTGATTTAAGGTAAAGCAGTCCCTGGGCTTCTGTCTGTTTTTGTTTGAATTAAGGGTTGGTGTTTTATGTGGCAGAGAAAATGTTTCTCTTCTCTGATAGGGACATTCATCAATTTATCTTGAGTGTCCTGTGGCTCAAATCCATTCTAAAGATAATGCTAAGACTGGCATTTATTGAGAGGCAATATTGTTCCAGACAGAATTCTGTTTATATCTCAAAGAATGAAAGATTTTTAAATCTCTATAAAATGGTCGTGATATTGCTATCATCGACTTCTTGTAGCTGTTTTGTCTAAATATTATTTTATACCATGGCTGTATAGTAAAGAAGTAAACTTGTTATGTTGCCAGATTTCCACATGGGTTATAAAGGATTTGGGGTGAATAGGAAATAAAGAGATTGACTCCAGTAATGGCCAGTTGTGTAAGGAGAGCATTAAGTTGCTCACATGGACAGGCTGGTTGACAAGGTACAGACGCTCAGAACAGGAAGCAGACATTTGATTATCACTGAGATGTGCGTCCTGATCTTCAGATTTCCTCCTAAATGATAAAGTCTTAGACTTCCCAAACCTCCCACACAAATTCTCCGAAATGAAACATTGCCCTGCCATATGTATCTATGAGACTTGGATGATTTTAGCTTGTCATTTACATGGTTCTGGGGCAGAAAAGCTGACACCTGAAGCTCATGTGGTCTGTTAATTTCTCCATCTGGCTACTCATGGTTTTAGTAAACCAGGGAGGGGCCTGGATAATAATGGAGAAATAAAATAATAACATGATCAGTCTAAAAATGTAGAATTACTAGCATCTTATTTTCCATGAATGTCCTTCAGGTAATTTGAAGTTTTAATTTTACATTTGTGCTTTTATTACAGTACAAATATGTCAGTATAGCCACCACATCATAAACACAGGCATGTCACACTCACAAAGAGATATTCATGCACTCACATGAGCTATGAGCATGCACATACACACACCCTGCCTCTTCCTTATGTCATGTGTATTAGGTATATACGTGATTGATTAGTTTCCAAATGTGGAATCATGCTCAGTCATTAACAAAAGCATGTTCAAGGAAATCAATTTAGGAGACACTATTGTGACAAATAATTCAGTAATGTGGTAAGATCTATTTCTATTTGTTCCCACACAGATTTTAGCAGTACAATATTTGTGGGATAAGGGGAATTACATAAACTAATATCACTGTAATGTTTAAATGTACTATTTTTTAGATACTTTAAGTTTATATGTTACAATTCAGGTTATTCTTTTTTATTTTCATATAGAATTAATTTTTTTTTACTTTAGGAAATTATACATTGCAAATCTCCATGTTATAAATGGAAAGAAATCACTGTGAATGTTAAAAATCCCTTCCACACTGCTGGGGACTTCAGGTGTGTTAATATAACATTTTTGTATAATTTCTTTGCAATTAGTCATATCCAATCTTAAAGGGAATAAGTTACTTTTTTCAATGTGAGCCATTTTGAGAAATTTTATATGTTTACACTATAGTAAATTTATGGACATCATCAGATAAAACAACAAATGATGATAAATCAATTTTTCTGGAAATACTATTTGATCTATTTAAAGCTAAGATTGGTTATATCAAATTTATGATTTTTGTCTAAGAGCTTTAAGTTTGTTGAGATGTACTAATCCTTTAATTTTTAAAAATGTTTAATTAATAGACATTTTTACTTCTAATTTTATTCCATCTGTTAATTTCTGAAAGTGAAATATTGATTCAAGCAGAACATGCATTTTAGCTTAAGGCATCATGATTAATTTAAACTGTGCATTAACCATGCATCCGTGCATCTTGAGATTTAACAAAAACAATAACAGCAACACAGATTTGAGATGAAAAGAATATAAAATGCTTAAGTACTATTTAAGGTCGCAATAGACAAATCTCTTTGTAAACTTACATACTGAGAGAGAAGTTGGTCAGTGATACCCATGTATTGCTTCAATTATGCACTGTTGCCATCAGCTTTAGAAATCAGATCCTCACAACAGTACTTGTGTTGACACTAGAAGTTGTAAGTATGCTTATGATTTTAGTATTTGATAATTTCCAGTTTCTAAAATCATTGTATTCCTAGGCTGTTGGTAGTTTCTTATTAATCATCATTTATCGTTGACAAAACAGTTTGTTTTTGTTAAAACAGTTACTGGTGAATTTATGGTTCCTTTGTTTACGTGGGGAGAGTTTTATTTACTGTAATTTTATTAAAGTTTTAGAATGCAAAGAACAAAAAAAATGTCAGAATATGTAGCATTAATCCAGTATTAAAATATGCCCTTAAATGAACCAAATGACTGACTGCAGTTCTTCAGAGGAAATCAAGATCAAACATAGTTAGTCTTACATTCTAGTGGTAGAGCTGAAAGGAAATCTCAAAGTTCCAGGAATTGGTAGACTATTATAATTGTATGTTTTTCAAAAAATATAATATTTTATTGTTACTTTATGATTTATCTCAGATTAAATTAAAATTCAACGAGAGGTGGTGCATGATTCGTTTGGTAGAGCACAAGACTCCTTCTTCTTTGTATGAATGTGACCCTCAAATTTAGTCAATGGGCATATAAACTCAAAATTTTAAAACCACTTACAAAATGTGTAAAATCAGCATTTTACAACAGGCATGTATTTTAAAATATAAAAATAATACACTAGAAAAGAAAGGAGATTTAATTGCCAATTAATTCTTATAGAGACATTTTTTAATGTTACAAACACCATAACAATAAGTGAACTAGCTTTTAATGTTACACTTAAAAAACTACCAGAATTTAATTATTAACAATCTAATATGAAACATACTTTAAAATAAAACAAAAATGTCCATATATTTTCCCCAAAATTATATGCAGTGCAGTGACCAGATTTGATCACGTTTTAATCAAAATCTAACAGTACTTTTAACAAAAATGGCAACCCAAACTAGATTTAACAGACAGGATTCGCCCACATGCCTCTCTACCAGATTAGTGGTTCTCAAATTCCTCTTTTGCAGAATGCAACTATTTCTTGCTATATAATACTTTTTTATACACTATAATATTTGATTTCCTAATATTTTGTTGAAGATTTTACATTTATAATCATAGAGTTTAATGGTTTAATTCCCTTTTCTACTGATGACTATCAGTTTTTTGTGTCATTAATACTAGATACTAAGAGTGATTTGGGAAATGGTCCCTTTTATTATATTTTTTCTGAAAAGTTTGTGAAGGATTGGTATTAATTCTGTTAATCTTCAGTAGAATTCACAACTAAAGCCATCAGGACTGAGCTTTGCTTTATGGGTAATTTATTTCATTACCAGTTGTATCTCTTTATTTGTTATGGGCCTAATCAGATATTCTAATTCTTCTTAAATCAGTTTTGATAGTTTGTACCATTCTAGGAATTTGTGCATTTCCTCCAAATTATGTAATTTGTTGGTACATAAATTTTCATAATATTCTCTTACAATCCTTTTTCCCCCCTGGAAAGTCAATAGTGATGGCCCTTCTTCCATCCCGAATTTTAATAATTTGATCTTCTTTCCTTCATTCTTGATCAGTCTAGGTAAACATTTGTCAATGATATCGATCTTTTCAAAGAACATTTTTTCTGGTTTCCTTGATATTCTCTATTGTTTATTGAGGTAGGATTGACCTACAAAAAAAACCCGCACATTTAATGTATACAATTTGATGAGTTTCGACTTATGCATGCAACCATAATACTATCACCACAATTAAGGTAATAAACATATCCATCACTTCCAAAAGTTTCCTTCTGTTACTTTTTTTGTTGTGGTGGTGGAGAATGCTTAACATGAGACTTACCCTCCTAACAGATGTTTAAGTGCTCCGTACTGTGTTGTTAATTAACTCTGTTGTATATCACATCCTTAGGATTTATTCATCTTGCAAAACTGAAACTTTATATATAACAACTCTCCATTTCATCTTAGTATGAATTCCTAGCAACCATCATTCTATCCTCTGCTTTTTGAATTTGGCTATTTTAGATACCTCATATAAATGGAATCATACAGTATTTGTCCTTCTGAGACTGGTTTATTTTACTTAGCATAATGTCCCCATGTTTCAAACATGTTGTCACATATTGTAGGATTTCCTTCTTTTTTAAGGCTGAATAGTCTTCCACTGTAATATATATACACACCATGTTTTCTTTACTCATTTGTCTACTGATGGACATTTGGGTTTTTTAATTTTTTTTAATTTTTATTTATTTATGTTAGTCACAGAGAGAGAAAGAGAGAGAGGCAGAGACATAGGCAGAGGGAGAAGCAGGCTCCATGCACCGGGAGCCCGATGTGGGATTCGATCCCGGGTCTCCAGGATCGCGCCCTGGGCCAAAGGCAGGCGTCAAACTGCTGCGCCACCCAGGGATCCCCAACATTTGGGTTTTTTAGATTGTTTTCATATCTTGGCTGTTGTGAATAATGCTGCAATGAGCATGAGAGTAAAGATACCTTTTTGAGATCTTGATTTCAGCTCCTTTGGATAAATACCCAGAAGTGGAAGTGCTGAACTACATGGTACTTCTACTTTTAATTTTTTGAGGAACTTCCATACTTTCCCATAGTGGCTGTACCATTTTGTATTCCCACCAATAGCATGCCAGTGTTTCCTTTCTCTAGATATTCACCAATATTGTAATATCTTTTTTGTTTGTATGTTTTGGTGTTTCTTTGTTTATAATAGCCTTTCCGATAGGGATGAGATGATATCTCACTGTGGTTTTGAAATGCATTTCCTGGATGAGTATGGATGTTCAAAATGTTTTCATATACATGTTGGCCATCTGTATGTCCTCTTTAGAAAAATGTCTATTGATATCTTCTGCCCAATTTTTAATTAGCTTGTTTGTTTTTTGGTTAGTTTTTTGCTTCTGAGCTCTATGAGTTCTTAATAGATTTTGGAAAATAATCCTTTATCAGGTATATGATTTGCAAATATTTTTCTCACATTTGGTAGGTTGCCTTTTCATTTTTACATTACTCTTGTATAACTCTATTGCATTTACCCCCCTTTTCATGGTATTTTTGTCAGACATATTGTATCAAAGGTGTCACAATAATCAGTAATGTTACTAACATTCTGGGGTATTTCTTATTTAATTTTGTGTAATTTTTATGTCTTAAGAAAGCTGAGAGAAGAAAAGACACTGTATTAGTTTGCTAGGGCTCCCATAACAAAATACCACGGACTGGTTGGCTTAAGCAACAGAAACTTATTTTCTCACACTTCTGGAGGATATAAGTCCAAGGTCAAGGTATTGGCAGATTGGGTTTCTTTGAGGCCTCTCTGTCTTGCAGATAGATGGCCACCTTCTTGCTGTGCCCTCACATGGTCTCTTCTCTATATGTGCACATCCCTGGAGTCTCTGTATGTCCACATTTTCTCTTGTAAGAACACCAGTTGGAATGAATTAGGGCCCACTCTAATGGCCCCATTATAACTTAGTCCCCTTTTTAAAGACCCTGTTTCCAAATAACTGTCACATTGTGCGAGTACTACAGGTTACGGCTTTAACATGAAATTTGAGGAAGGAAACAATTTAGCCCATAAAAGAAAGTATACACATTTATAATTTTCATTACATTAGCCTTATTATTTATCATTTCTGGTTTATTTGTTTCTATGGATTCACGCTACCTTCCGGAATAACTTCCATGGCTAAATCCAGCTTCACTCTCACCCACCTCATTTTTAAAGTTTTTCTTTTATTTTCTCTCTGTCTGCTCCTTCCAGTAATTGTATTACACCATGTGTTGGTACACCATTATGTGTATGAGATTGTTTATTTTTCTTTATTCTATTTTCTGTCCTTCAGATTGCATAATCTCTTCCAATCTTCAATTTGTTAGCTCTTTTTTTTTCTGCCAGTTCAGATCTATGATTGAACCCCTCTAGTGATTTTTTAAAATACTTGTTTTTGTAGTTTCCAACTCCAGAATTTTTTTGTTCTTTTTTAAATTTCAGTCTCTTTTTTGATATTCTCTACTTGATGTTATATTGTATCATACCTCCCTTTACTTCTTTAGTCATACTTTCCTTACTTTTTGAAGACATTTATAATGGCAATTTTGAATCAGTTTTCTGTTAAATCTTTTTTTTTTTTTTTTAAAGATTTCATTTGGGCAGCCTGGATGGCAAAGTGGTTTAGCGCCGCCTTCAGCCCAGGGTGTGACCCTGGCGTCCTGGAATCGAGTCCCACATCGGGCTCCCTGCATGAACCCTGCTTCTCCCTCTGCCTGTGACTCTGCCTCTCTCTCTGTCTCTCATGAATGAATAAATGAATTTTTTTAAAGATTTTATTTATTCATTCATGAGAGACAGAGAGAGAGAGAGGCAGAGG